AATAAAAGTCTCATTAAAAAGAAACAATAGATCAGCGTTTTCTCACTCGCAGAAAAGAGAACTGGCAATATCGTGTTTAGGAGCAACACACAGTTATGTCCTTAGTTAATCACCTAATGGCACCAGAGGGAGGAGAGGCAGAGGTGGCTCGCATATGGCCACACCCATCTCATTTAACTTTAATACTTTCAAGTATCAACTTACCAAGGGGAATTTCCCAGTTTTAAAAATCTAACAAAAACATATTTAGCTTTCTGTATATAAAATTTATACTATAAAGCATGAACATATTGTAAATGACATATCAGACAGGCAGACAGCAAGACAATCAGACAGGCAGGCAGGCAGACAGACAGACAGACAGACAGACAGACAGACAGACAGACAGACAGACAGACAGACAGACAGACAGACAAAGACAGACAAAGACAGACAGACAAAGACAGACAAAGACAGACAGATGAATGAATGTACGTACACACACACACACGCACACACGTACACACAAAAAAAATACAAACACACACACACACACACGCACACACACACACTTAAATGCACATGCATGCACATACACATGATCAAACAAAAAAACAAAAACAAACACAAACATACACACACAAATCAATAATCCTTAGATAAAAAAAAAAAAAAAATACTGAACGCTTTCCCACTATGAACTCAAGTAAACAAACACGTATACTTACTTAAGGTTAGAGATCTGCTTCTGTAGTGTAATGTTCTCATCTTCGAGTTCTGCATAGTCCTGGAAGAGCCTTGTCTCTCGGAACTTAAGGTCTTTGAGTTCCGTTCTGAGCTGTTTCTTCTCATGGTCACTTATGTCTTTATCCTTGAGGAGCTCATGAAGTTCAGTGTAGTAGCGGCTCTTCTCGCTCTGCACACGTTCTAGCTCAGCTCGGCACTGTTTAGCAAGGAAGGAAGTTATTAAGTGGATTAGTCCTGGACAGATGAAAAATAGAAAGCTCTAAGAAACAAAACTGCTTTTAGCTTTGTTTCCTTAACTATTGCCAAATATAGAAAATAAAGTGTAGTCATTCCAAATATAAACTTATTCACCATCTACCTACTATAACTTATAAATAATTTTGAAAAAAAAAAAAAATTAGGCCTTGACTCCGCACCCCTATTAAAGTTCAAAGTTTGATCACAAAACACAAAAATTGAAGTCCATGATTTACCAGACCAAAAACACTATACACAAAAAGACGGGTAAGTATCACCACATCCAAACCTAAATACTAGTCATCTTAGAAACTTTTTCATTGACTGTGTGACTCATAGTTCTCTTACCTTCAGCCCCCAGTGAGAGAAAGGCAGTAGAAATTCCTAGGCTACCATATCTATAATGTTACTTTCTTTCTTTTGTCTGTTTTGTCTTTAATATTTTACATTCACTATCACTAACAATAACTTGTTTTTTTTTTATTCTCAATCACTCAAGCATTCTATCTTATTCACTTTACTTAGCACCCTTACTCATTTTCACATACTCCCACTTGCTCACTCATGTTTGCTTATTGGATGATTACACTCATTCACTCAGTTACAACTTGCATTAACTTTCTCCTGTAACTCTCCTTCAATTCTCCTCTCTAACACTCTCTCTCCCTTTTATTCATTATCTCTCCACCTTTCATAATCTCTCTTCATCTCTTCAGCAATCAGACACGACCACTCATGTAGCATAACAAATTCTCGCCACCCACCTGTTTGGCTTCAAGTTCAAGCTCGATGATCTGCGAGTTGAGAGAGGTCTCCCTGGCAGCCGATTCTGACAGCAGGCTCTCTTCAGTTTCAATTCCGCTAGCAGTGGCCACTCGGTGTGTCGTCTGGAACTTGGCTAAGGCCTAAAACAAAAGTAAATCACTTTGAATAGTAATCCTTGAGAAACATTCAGGTAAAAAGTCATAGCTCTCCTATGAAAAAAACTTTTATACAATACTATATCAAAACATTAAGTTTTGGAGGGCTATCATATATGAAACAAATTTCTACCAATCATTCAAATCTTAAAATGGCTGTAAAGTGTAGACTTAGGTGAGGGTGTAGTCCATATCCCTGCTGTTTTTCTTATGACAATTTGTGTTCAGAGAATATTTATTTTAAGATAATAAGTACTATACTCTATTCACTTATGGAAAATAAAAATTCCATTCCACTACTTCCTGGCATCCTTTACATGGACTACGCACTTGTACATATTTAGGATATAATTGTACCTTAATGAAAGAAGAAAAGTAGTCAGATAATGAGAAGTAACATATTACAATCTAATGTTGCTTTTCCTTATAACTCAGCTTGTCATACAGACTCTGACATGATCTTCTTTGATATGGTTAAGAGATGATGTACCAATCAAAATTTTATGCACCAGCAATATAAGGCTTCACTATGAAGCTAAGCAGTGGTGTAGCCTAATCTCATTTTCAAAACTTAATGCATCCATATTTAAATTCAATGTTTAACTCTTTCTGGAAGGATTATCATTGTGAGACGTGAAGGATGTAACAAAGATTCATGAAGAAACCTTTGAAAAAAAAAAAAAGTTGAAAAAATAATTGTATATGAAATATAAAAACACACTTGGTCTTACTACATTATCTCTATTTCATGAAAGGGTTACAAAAAATGAAAGACAAATAAAATTCATAATATAAAATCAACAACAACATCTGACTGGCCTCTGGTGAAGTGCTGACAACGTAAACACAGAGCTACCTCAGAATCCCTTCTCAGAGCAGATAAACTAACCAAACCAAAGTTGAAGGAGCCTCCAGAAATTTTTTACACACAATTTAGTTTTCAAGCCTAGCAGATCTCTGTGCTGAGTGTCCTTATATTTCCATTAATATTGTGCATAGTGTCGTGAAACTGAAATGTAGATGGAATCTACGAAAATCTCATTTTCAAAGTATTACTGAGACCATGCCCTACTTCATTACCTACAGAACCAAGTGCAGTGTTAAGAATGGATAAACTGGCAGTCAGAGAAAAAATAGAATATGTTGTTTCATATATTTTGGGGCATACTTGTTTGTGTGTCTAGTCCATATCATTCTAAATCTAGTGAATATATTCAAGTGACATAATTCATGCATACCTTCAAAACCTTTTTTGTGTATCTGACATCATCTCACTTGCTATAAAACATGTTATATATTGTATCAGTAATCTCATAAGTACCACAAAATGAATATTTGTGTTCAGTAGACTACAGCTCAACCCAACTTATGAGAACTATCTAAAAGCCTCACATCTTTAAAATTTTGCCTATTGTCAGTAATCCAGGTGTATTGAATGAAGGTTAATTTTTTGGAAAAAATTAGAAAAATCTTAAGAGGCTAACAAATGCAGGAACTATGACACCTCTGAAAATCTATCTTCACATACAAAATTACATACTAGACATCATGGCTGTGATAAAAACATGCTAGGCAAGTGATGGTTCGTGACATGTACTTGTACAGCTGGCTACATGGAGAGAGACTAACACAGACAGAGCTGGGGTAGGATGTGCAGACGAGGTGAACTAAGCCCAGTGCCCATTAATCATATGAAGTAATACCAAGAAATCTATATCATACTCAAGCAGTACTACTTAGTTGTTACCCCAACACCACATCCCTTACAAAATCTGCCCAGAATCCACAATTTACCTTTAACTAGTTACTCTACTTCCTTGCCTCCTACCCTGACAGAGACATAGCCACAAATGGGCGTGTAACCTTAGCTTCAGAATGTCAATATGATTTCCATGGCAAACAATATATGGAAACAACAAAGAGAAGAAATCTAAGAAACTCAGTTGCCTATGTAATTTCGGTCATAAATATCTAATGAAGAAGTGCGTGTGAGAAAAATAGGCTTGAATCAATAATGAAGGTCAAATTCTAGTAACAAATAAATGCCAGTTTGCAGTATTCCATTCAACAATATTGAGCAGTAAATTCTTCAATGAATATTTTCTATTTCCTTTTATACTGTCCCACTTGCAAATTTCCAGAGAATATTAGGTCTATATTTTACTCTTTTTTTTTTGGATCTATACACAGCTGGCACTATATCACCATACACTATTTCCCCCATGAAGCTTTGACAATCGTTTTTCTGACAGATCTTCAAATTTAAAATAAATATTTGTTAGAGTAGCATCAGGCAGCAATTCAGATTCAGATTATTCAGCAAAATTATGAAGATATAATGAGCTTACCTCCTGCAATTAATTAATCTAGTAGAAAAAGTTTAATCTCTGCAGTTATCTCATTTACATAAAAGGGTAAAATCAAATAACAAAAAGGACATTACTAAGAGAACACAGCAATAATAATAATAATAAACATTTGTGTCATTAAGGAGAAAGCAATTAAGCTGCAGGTAGAAATTCCCACAGGGACGAGGAACACGAAAACCTAAAGGACGAGAGCCGAGGAAATAAGCGTCACAGAAAACGTCATAAAAGCCCCACAGACGAGCGAAAATACACCGAAATAAAGCCCCGGACAGACAGACAGACAGACAGACACAACAGACACAACCGCCCCTTCACCTCCGGACGCCCTGCCAGCTGACGACCCTCCCGACCCTCCCCCTTCCTCTCTCCCTTCTCTCCCTCCCTCTCTTCCTTTATCTACCCACTGTCCCTTTCTTCACCAACGCCCCCGCCCTCTTCTCACCTCCCTCGTGTTGTCGAGCTCGTGCTTGGTGTTCTCGTAGAGCGCCTCCAAGTCCTCGAGCCTCGTCTGCAAGCTCTCCTTCTCCTCCAGCAGCACCAGCCCGTACTGAGCCGCCTGGTTTTTCTCGCTGCTCGTCTGGTCTAGTTCCAAGTTCAATCTCTCCAGCTCCTGCTTGAGGTTGTCGATGGATTCCAGCGTGTCGGCCATCGTGGAGGGGCGTCGCGGGGATGGTTTAGAGTGATGTTAAATGAGAGAGAAGAGAGGCTTGGCCATCGCGCTCCTTCCTGCGTGAGGGTCCGGGGGGCT